GCTATAGCCTCAAGCGTGGCGAAGTGTTCTTATCGCAAATCCCCGACATGGAATAATCAAAATGCACTTCATAGAGTCAGAATCAGGGTACGCTTGAGGATTCACTCAGATAGTTTCTTTTGTCTGTCCCTTGCACCATTTAAATCCGAAAGACGGGTTGAAAAATAGTACCATGGCGACATAGTATATGTCATATTTTTACAAGTAGTAGGCCAAGTCAAGCATCATCTGGAACAGAGGCGCAGGTCTTTCAACGGCAACCCTAACATTTGCAAGATCTGCCAACAGTCCATGCCCTCTGATGAATCAACGCAGAAAAATGCTCTGGTCGGCGCCAAAGACCCACTCGTCTATATTGACAAACTGCTTACTTAAGTGCTCCACCCGAGCACTACTCGAAAGGGGGTTGATTGAGATTTTGCATAGACTACCCAATTTTCGATTTAGTATGGACGGAAATGCTGTCGATACACGTTTGGGCATAGTTTTTTGTGGTCTTATGAGCCGCGTTCGCAGACGATTGGGCGATACAGGTGCGTCTATACTCTTTGTAGTATTCCAGAAACATCATGCTTGGAGAACCAACTGCTGTGATACTACTTTTGCCGTTTCTCGCACACTGTTGATAGTGCTCATCTACAACGACTAGTCAACAGAGCAAAGCGCAGTAGACCATGCTGCATCCTTTGCAGAAATCGGCATTTGCGCCGATAAAATGGCTTCGTTCAGATTTCTATAAGCACACACGCTTTACCTTTCTACGACTGAAAAATGGAAACAGATGATAAATCTCCTAGCAAACCTGATAAACGAACGCTTGAAAAAAAACCTCTAAGGACCGTTGACAAATTGACGCAGTATTTGGCTCCGAGAGCCAAGGTAATTTTATTACCTGCTCCATGATCTGGGAAAAACGTGTGCTGGGTCTTTGTCACTCCATAATTCTATTCCTTGAACAAAGGCTGATAAATTATGTCGAATTCTCGGAAAAAGCAGTCTCATTCTTCGTATTCGGTGTGCCAAAAACATTTAGGACGGATGATGGGCTCAGCCACTTTTCCATACCAAACGTATCCCTTATGTGATGATAACGTCTTGCATTTTTTCGAAAGCATCTTTCAGAGATAATTGCTGAAGATTAGTGAGGTCTTCTGTATGATGTAGTGGCGAAAAACTTATAATTCATTGAACTACTCCATTTACGAGAAAAACTTTTCTGTAAGCGCAGATAAACGGTAGTCATCATTATAAATGAACGTCTTTAACAAATGTTATTTATCGCCACCCTGGGATAAAATCTGGATCACGACATATCGTAATTTATTCCTCGTCTCAGCAAAGATAAACTCTGAAGCCGCGATATACGATCGATCGCCTCTGTGTCATCTTGAGACCGCGGCTAGCCAAATATTCCGCTTTTATATTTCGAAATCGAGCACTCAACAATATGATTGCTAAACATTCCTTCAATTCCATGTCCTGTACCGAAGAATTCAAATTTTCATGCCCGCGTCAAAAGTGCCTCAGTTTCCTGGCAGAGGAAGGTTCATGACTTACCGCAGCCCCACCAGAAACAAAGTGCGTGATCCGGCTTTCAGTCGAATTCTTGCTAATGACGCTCAATTTCTCGTATTAAATAATGCAGCGTTTCGCGTCAAACGTATCGGATTTTTTAAGTAGGTACATCAGAATATTCAATACGTTCACTAGTCTTCTTGTCGAAGGACGAACAGATATTGTGTTCACATTTGACATCACGAATGCATGCATATACTGGATGTTGTTTTGATGGTCGCGCGTTGTTTGGAAATGCATATTGTTTCCGAAAATGTCAGGACTTTGACGGCGTCATGAGGAGACAGACATTCACGACCTCAACCAGCAAATTTGGGCTGTGTGGTCTACCTCTTCAGAAGAAGTCTCTCGTTGTAGAGCTGAGTTCCTTTGACTTCAACTCCTCTAGCTTCAATAGAGTCAGTTGCCATTTTAGTAAGCCATATCGCACTACTGGGGCTCCACTCGACGTTACCCCGTGGGAGTTTTGTCACTCTGCACAAAACTTTGTCCTTTCGTACTTCTCAGCCGGAAGAAAAGGGGGTACGCGGGTAGCGAATGCTTGAAAAGGCCACGGATGTATCGTTTGCAAGTATCACTAGAGCTAAGACATCTCTTCTTCAACCTTAGTATAGCTGAAGCCCATTGCCTCTGGAACAGTGTAGAATTTCTATTCACTGTTTTCGAGCCCGCCTTGCGGAAGAGAAGTTGTATTCTGCAACAAATGTGACACCCACCACCTCCTCAAAATTGTAAGAATGGACCGGAAGCCTCGGTGTGAGCCTCTCCTGTTCCAAGGTCCTCCAGATAATATTTTTATTGGAACCGCGATTAGGAAAGGGTCTGCTTCGATCCCGCTAAGGAGAGTTTCTCAATCTTGGATATAATAATTTAGTTCCCGCCATCTTTGATGCGAGGACAGGAGCTTGAATGAACATGATCTACATATGAAAGTTCTTGACATTAGAACTTCGTATTTTGGAACCGCCTCTTCCGAAGATGTCCGGCTCGTAAGTCCATTCTCCCGCGAGGCCTCCTAGCTAATCAACCACTAGCGCGACGCGCTGTTGCACCTTCTGGTACATGGCCGAATATATGGAAAACTCAACTTCTCTCTTTTTAAGATCACGATAATGTTAGTATATCTCTGTCCTAGAAAGGCTGAATGTTCAGCGGAAGCGGCCTCATCGTTGATGCGAGTTGTACTAACACCGTTACCCAATCGTGGCCTTTTCGGGACATTTGTTTAACAGGGCATGTTATAGCTGCTAAACGCTCGTTGCCGAGCATTTACCGGCTTAAGCTGTTGGGTTACCAGTGTCCTGCCGCTCTTCGGTACCAATAATATCTTTAAGCTTGCCTATCGTTTCTAATTGTCCCGGCAACATGGAGCGAAACATTGTGTATTATCTTTGCATGAGAGACAGTCTTTTCATGGCTCGATCGTTGGAATGCTAATTCTACCAACACAAAAGAGTTTTTGTGCCACCTTGCATCCAAGAAGTTTCAATTCAAGAGTCTGTGATAAGAACGCCGAGATGGGTGAGCTGGAGCTCTTTACCAAGGTGCGAAACCAAGAGCCTCTCATGTCACTTTACTTTTAGATTGATTATCTACTCCACAAGTAGCATATGTTATGGACTGCGTTTTCAGCTTAATGAGTTATCGACACAAGTATCTGTATTGCTTCGCCACTCCTCGTGTGTCATAAAAATCTCCGTTACGGATTGCCATTGTACCAATAATGTCATACCTCTGAGCATTTTACAATCACACAGAAGTGTGATGCGAAAATTCTACGCTTGTTGAATTTAAATATAAGATTCTCATCGAAATGGCTCCGTTATACCGAGAGTGAGCAATTTTAGCTGATTACGTTTGTTGGAACAGAAGCTTATTCCTGCAAAAACGATATAGGTGGATTTCTTCATTTTATAGCGAGTACAATTAAACTTACACTTGATACATTTATTTTTATTTTGTAACTATCTGGTCTATCGTTTTTACTAATGTATATCTGGTAATTATTTTATTTCCCCTTAATTAAAATATTTGGCTTTAACGTAAGAAAAGAAAAAAAATAATTAAGTTTGGTGTTGTCATCAATAAGTTCGGTTTAAGGCTTTCGTCAAATGTGGTTGTAGTTCTTTTGATATGGTCGTGTGTGCGCTGGTAGTAGCGCTTCTGTGCTGCTTTGATTCGCTATTTGTTGGTGAGTGGAGTGTACACCGTCTTCGTATATTACTAAATTGATGTTCTGGGATAAATAATGTTACTAAGGGGGAAATCAAACTACTACACTGAAATCCAAATCATCTTTCTACATGTAGTAGTGATTCGATGACCGTGAGAAGTGATTTAGCCGTGGGTGTCTGCTTGACGGTTTTTTCTGCAAACACTGTGATTTCATGATTTTTAGTTCAGGCGGAAGATCTTGAAAAGAATATGTCTTCAAAAGGTAGCCCACGCTCCAAATGTCAACCTTGAGTGTGTGTGTGTGGGATGATATCTCGGGAGCATGCGATTCCGCCTTCAAATGAGTTACTTTCGCGGCTGGCGATATTGCTCCGTCGTCAAAATCAATAAGAAACCACTTGTCGCCTTCGTTAAAGTACTTCAGCACATTTTCCCATCTCAAATCTCGATGCATCGGACCGATTTCATGCAGTGCCACGAGCGCCTCGAGTATATCGCGCAAGGCGGAGCTGCTGGGCGTTTTCAGGTGGGGCTGGTTGACCAACGGGTGCCAGCTCTACATATCTTTTTATCATGTTTGTCCTCTTTAGCATCACAACGTTTGGAACAGAATGCCTCGTCATTTGATGATGCAAATCTCGCAGATTGCGAATTATCTTGTCACTTGGCATGTCCTCGGAATACATCTTCACCACACATTCTTCTGCGAACGCAATCTGCACACCAGTGAATCTTGTGATTAAACCGTACTCAGGTATTTTCAGCGGCTACACAAGTTTCACAGCTGGATGGAACAGAGTCGAAAGGTTGAGTATGGCGAGGAAAAAACGAAGTCGACCCCCTAGTTCTCCTAAATCATACTTATCAATGATTTTTGCTTTGGCACCACGTTCTGTCTTCTCGTTTTTCTGAATGACTACCAAGCACACCAGCAGTCCTGCAGCAGCGTAACCATATATATACGGTGCAGCGTCATATTTCCACCTTAGTTTCGCATGCAATCTATTAACCGGAACTTGCAAGATTCCGCTTGCTTCTTCTTCTCCCCGAAACATGCACACATTACTATTCGGGTAGTAGAAGCTCATGTCCGGTTGATAACGGCTAGATGAAGACGTATTCATTTTGCGAAGATATCTCCCCATCTGACACAAGCCTCAGAAGGACCGCAATGAGAGAATCCCACAAGTGATAATACGAGGCTTTAGTAACGTACTCGCTGCCAATCCCGATGGGGTCAATTATACCCCTCAAGATGCCCAAACTGATATCTGAATTTCGTTTTCGCGGTTCGGGCTCAAAAAGTTTGTCCACCACGCTGGATAGTTCTCCAGTTGTATTTTTCGATAAATAATCCAGAATAATCTGTGATTGATGGGAATTTTGACCCGAACTCTGCGTTGCAGGTACTTTTTCAAATCATCAAAAGTTGACGGTAGCTCTGTAATCTGCTCATCTTTGATAGCCTTTATCCAGGCGTCAGGAACATCTTCGTCTTCCTTTCTTTTCCTCTTCCATTTATTTTTGTTTTCAGAGATTGAAGAATCCACCGGCACTACCACCAGTACGTGAACTTGGCCTTCACTCGGTTGAAAACTATCGCCAAAGTGCATGTGGTTTTTGATACACAGTGTGGGTTTCATTTGCATACAGCCTTGTAGATGTCCACGTTCATCAAGCGCCACAGAAGTCGCACCAGCCCGATCGAGCCACGCGCCTCCCACCTTCTTAGCTAAAAAGAGTTTCAACCTGTCTGCGTTGATACCCTCGAATTCTTTTGGCTTCTCCGCCTTTATCGCGTCCTTCAACGCCGAGACAGACTCCGTATCGTCGATCTCTACCTGAAAAATGCTACCCGCCTCACCAACGATAGCACAGATGAGCTGTACCATCTTCGCTCGAGCCGACAATTTCTTGAATGAGGTAGTTGGTAGGAAAAATTACTAAGCGGACGTTAGGGTGGGCAACATAGATGTTCACTTTGATGTCACGCTGGTCGCTCTCGCTATAAAGTGGATCAACGTCAATTTAACCTCACCAGTTGAGACTTGAGAAGGAAGGTTCCCAGGAATGTTCTCAGTGGTAAATTACGGAAAGAAGAAAATGCCGGAGTGATGATGTTGATGACCCCAAGCGAAAGCTTTTTAAGTCAGTAGTTTTAGTCGAGATATTACATTGACACACAGGCAAACATATTACATGACTTTCGGATAAACAGTATACCACTATATGAAAGCAGTGTTTTGCAGTCAAGATAGCACCGCCGTAAAGCAATATCCAATAAAAGTGAAGAGATTCGCCTAATCGCCCGTTATATGCGAGATTTGACGATATAGCTGAGCAATCACTTCATGATCTGAATGAGTGAATTCCGTATTACCAAGACCAAGAAATCCACCTATCTCGTTTTTGCAAGAATAGAAGGGAGCTATATCGATGAGAATCTTATATTAAAATTCAACAAGCGTAGAACTTTCCCATCACACTTCTGTGTAATTGTAAAATCCTGAGGTAGTACAATAACGGAGATTCTTATGACACACGGGGACTGGCTAAGCAATACAGATACTTGTGTCGATAGTTCAGTTAAGCTAAAAAAGCAGTCCGTAACACATGCTGCTTGTGGAGTAGATAATCAATCTAAAAGTAAAGTTACACACCTTGGTAAAGAGCTCTAGCTCCATCTCTGCGTTCTTTTCACGGACTCTTGAATTGAAACTCTTTTGTTTCGGTAGAATTGGCATTCCAGCGACCGAGCCATGAAAATATATTATTGGTACCGAATAGCGGCAGGACACTGGCATTCCAACAGCTTAAGCCGGTAAATGCTTGCCAACGAACGTTCAGCATCTATAAAAATGCTCGTCAAACTAGCATAATATTCATCGCCAGAAATCTAGCAAATGTCATGAAGCACTCCCATGTCTGGGATCAACACCCGTAACGGATTTTCGTCACCATGTCGCGACAATTTATCATCAAAAACAAAAGGGTCCATTAAGGATTGTCATCACACTTCTTGTGCCCAAAGTCCTCAAAAACAAATTTATCTATTTCGGATGATTACCTCATCTCTTCCGTTATACTAATCGCGTTATCTTCGTGTAGGTTTCCGCACATGTGCAGCTCGCACCGACCACGTCTATTATTGTGTTGACATCCGTAACAGCGAACTTGCGGCGGTGTCGAATTTAATCGAAACATATTATCCTCGTGAGGGCACATGAGATCTAGGTAGAAAAGGCGTCTAGTGGTGCTGACCTCGAGATGGAGATGGAGCGAGCGCTCTAAGCCCCAGGAACAATAATGCGATCTGCATGTAAGGCACGTACATCGTGGTAGTGTGTATCGGTTTCGACTTTGTTCGAGTATTCCTTTCGTACCGCATTTATGGAAAGAAGTAGATAATCTCGTTTCTAAATGCTTGTTGATAAATTTGATAAACACAGCAGCGGCATGATTCGATCGGCGATAAGCGCAATCAAGGACATATCGAATAAATAGCTTCTCAGCGCTTGCACAAGCGCTGTAAAGTGCGAAGGTGACCACTTTTGTCGGAACATTACATGGAGGTCTTTTAACTGGCGGTGCCATTCGATGGGCTCAGTTGTATACAATGTTAATGATACGACCTAGCTTAATCTCTTGTTATCTCCTCGAATATCTACACGCTCGACTATGTTGAGCGTCATATATATGACCAAGACAATTGTCAGCACACTTGTTCGTAAGACAATATTTGTTATGCTGACACTGTATGCCATTTACGCTATGATGATAAGGCACCCATGCCTCCTTCCTTGAAAAGTGATAAGGCTCTGCCTAGTGAATTACGACGACTCAGCTCCAGGTTCTTGTTGCGCAGAAGCATCACGTCATGTCGAGGAAGAATTGCTGTACGGTGAGACAAAAACGCTTGCGTCCTTTTCATGCTGGACTTTGTGGTGAAGTGTCTAGACAGTGCTACAAGTACCCAAAGCAAAAATTCTTTTGCATGTGGATCGCATATTACGAATTGATTGGTATCTCGTTATTAAAAGTTTTGTCGAATTTAATTTTCAAGATGTGAACAATCCTCATGATGGATCTCTCGAATAATATGTGCGGAAATTTCCCACACTACAGTAAAAGAAAGACAATGATAGAGCTTGACGATTTTCAGAACTAAAATGCAGTACAGCCGAAGAAAGGTCATGATGTCAGCATTGGCGTCCCGCATTGTAAAAAGTGCAAAGATCAGATTAAGTATATTCGTGATGATAAATCAAGTCGAAGTGTCCTTCAAATACTATAATCAGTTCAAATTCTCCACTTTTCGAAATGATATCTAACATATTGACGGACCGTGCCAAAATCCTGATTTATGCGCAAGAGCAGTCGAGTGCTTAGTTCGCTGAATGCGATGAGGAAATGCTTGATTGCAGCCTTTATATGTCGCTAATTGAGTTTGACGCTACTAGGCCAATAATCGTTTGTAACATAAGAAATAAATATGTGAAGCCACTGAAAGATGATGTTGCAGTTATTTTACATGTATCAGATTGTTCCTTTAGTAATCGATAGAAGCACCTTCACTTTCTTGATTGAGGGTTACCACAAGTTTCACCACACGGATTTTTGGGTGCTCCTCACGTCCCCTCGTCCTATTTTATGGATTTCCGACTGGTGGCAGACAATTTATGTTCGCCATCTGATGTTGAGATTCAATTTATGTTCTTAATTTGGAGCAGAAATGGACACGCATAAATATCGCAAAGTCGGCTATGCTGTAAGAATTGATCGCCATCATCGTTTAAACATAAGCATGATTTCTTGCGTAAGAGTATGACGTATTTCACTTCTGGTGTTTCTTCTGACAATGACCGCCGCAATCATCTCGCTTTATGATCGCGGCGGCGATTTGACTTCATTGAAAAGGTTATGCAGTTATAGCTAGTATTTGAAGAAGGTACATTTATTTATTTAAGCGTGCTTGTTAAATTGTCGAAGTACCATCCCCAGATAAGATGTCACATAACTTGGTGAATAAATATGAGAGAGTGTCACAGCTCGATTTACCTGTGTTAATTGTTGCTTTGTTTGCTACAAAATAACTCATCACTTTGGTTTGTACCTACTATCCGGGACCGCGTATCCGATCTACCTGCCATATAATGAGCTGGTTTCCGCTTCTTGCTCGTGCTTTCTGCCGTTGCTCTCTGTGACAGTGTGTTTTGTGCTGTCGACATGATTGGACTAAACAGAAGATCAGGCCTACAATCTAGCTTGTCTGTCTTGAGTACTGCTAATCCTGCTACAAAGAGGTTACTTAGGGGCGGATCAAACCCTGTGCACAGCAAGTGGACGATGATAATATCTCAGAAGAGCGTGGAATTCTCTCCTTTTTAGAAAGCTCAGCTCTCAAAAAAACTATCAACTTCAGTGAAATCAGCGATTCCGATATAACTGAGATAATGAACGCATCGGAGATGGATCGATCCAAATGCTTTTCTAAAGTAGGGCGTGATGTAAACCCGCAGGCAGCATTCATGCGATTGGGTGAATTTCGCATGAGTGATTTGAGAAGGAGATTTTTTAAAATGTACGGAACTTGGCACGACACAAACACGTGAATTTTGGTGTAAACATGCTATTACTCTAGCTGCTTTTTAGATATGTTCTTCCTTCTTAACAGTCAGCTGACTGATAGTGTTATTAATAAATAAAAACATTGAAAGGATTTGATATACACATTGTTGTGATATGTACATTTAGATTTTTTGTAAAAGTTCCCTAACATTCTACAAAAAATTCTCCTATTCGTGCATCATTTTTGCGAAAACCATTGGAATCATAACGTGATCATTGCAGTTTCTATCTTACTATGTTTACTGCTGCCTAACTCTTGACCTGTAGCATTTCAAACCATTGTCGAAGTGAATCTGAAAGGATCTCTGGAAGCATTGCAGAAGTCGGTATCAATACATAATATGGAAATGGATAATTTTCCAGATATGGCACCATGCGCACTTTTCCTTTCTCAAACGTCACGCTTTGGGTATCGAGAATTGACGTTTGCCGCTGGTTCACTGCATCATCATATTCGGCTGCATTTTGATCCACAATAAGCAACACTATAAGTTGCTGACGCTCCAGTGCCGTCTCAATCAGCTTTCGAATCCGCATTCTGCCATCCGAGTCAAACCGCCCGTCCGAGATTAAAAAAACAATCTGAGTAAACTCGACAGTGCTGCTGTCTGTCGATGCTGACTGCTTTGCTATTTCGAGAATCTGTAAGATAGTATCGAGCGTCTGCACCATATTTGTCTTCTTTTGCTGAAAGCCAAAACGGCTGATGATGCGACTTCCTGCATCGTCTGTAAATGGTGTGTCGAAAGCATGTAGCAGCTCAACATTTTGACCAAATTTGACGACAGCTAGCTCACCCACTTCAAGCTGTGTCATTCCTTTACAGAATGTCGACAGAGCCTCCAAAGCCAAACGACCAGCGTGATTGTCGGCCATCGACTCGGAATCGTCAATTGCAAGCATCACTTGGTACTGCCTCTTAGATGGACATGTACGACGCAGCCAAATTTTGTCCTTGCGAAACTGACTAGCAATGTACGGAATCACCTTGCGCATATTTATACGTTTACCGGTTCGGTAATCGCCTTGGAGCTTTGCACGAAGCATAGGTTCTAGCACAAGCCGAAGCTGCTCACAAAGTCGCTGAGATGCGCCGGCAGTCAATGCCGTATATTTGGCCCAAAGGTCCGTGCCATGTTCTCGTTCCAGCTGAAATGTCCAATTTGCAATAAACAAGTCGAGCTCGTCGCGCAAAGCAGCAACTTCATCAGGAGAGAGTAGCTTCGCCTCTGTTTCTACTTCTTCACCGTCAATCTGGTCCTGCAAACTAGCGTTTACATCCTGGCTACGAAGCTTCGTTGGAAGTGCTTGCTCGATCATGTCGTCTAAAAGCCTGTGCTCTTTGATATCGGTAGAGTCCTTGGCTTCTCCATCGAGCTTCTCCAGTTTCGGATCCTCTTGCTTATCCATCAGTGCATCCGGATCAAACTTAGACTCTTGCTTAGCAGTCTTAGGGTTCTGGTTTTCTTCATTGGATTTATCAATTGACTTCTCTTCTTCTTCATCAATGTCCATGGCTGTCGCTCCGTTTTGAGCATTCGTTTCTAGTTCTTCTTCCTTTTCAACGTGTTCTTCCTCTTCAGAACGAAGCTGATTCATGATCTGATTCTCAGCAGCAGCAGCCAACGCATGCTCCACGTCTTCCATCTCATCGTCGTCATCGACAAACTCCGCTGTTGTCATTTCTACTGCTTTCTCCTGATCGTCGGTCAATGTCTTGTCAAACTCCCTTTCTTCTTTCGTTTGATCGACCATCTCCACACGCTTCTTCCAATGTTCTTGTGCTTCCTGAGCATTGCGATACGGATTCGGATCGCAGCGGTCGCGGCGTTTTTCCCGAGTGTCTACCTTGTTCTCAACTTGAGACTGCGCCTTCCAATCCTGCTTAGCGTCCTCATCGTTGCTGTCATTTCGCTTTTGAGAACGACTGCTGCTAACGTCGTTGCTCGTGTTTTTATCCTGCTCCTTAGCATCAAAGCTTTCAGTTTCATCGTCGTCAGCGTCCTCATCGATCGCTTCTAGATCGTCCTGACCATCTTTCGACTTAGTACCAGCCACATTTGGAGCAGCCTGCTCTTCTTTCATTTTCTCAGAAGCTTCAGCTAGATCAGTTTCTTCTTCCTTCTTCTCCTCCGCTGGCTCCTGCTCGTCTTCCATTCCACCACCACCAAGCTGAATCGCATTGTCAAGCTGCTCTTCATCACTTGCCTCCTCATCTACATTGTTCTCGTCAGTTCTACCAGCTTCCTCTCCGCCTGCCTCATTGTCGCTCGGCTCATTCTCCGAATCACCCATTTTGTCCATATCATCGTCTAAATTATCCATGTCTGCATTTCCATCATCCTTGTCAAGTTGCATATCCTCAGCAAATTCGTCACCGTGCAATTCATCTGGGCCATCCTCATCGTGGTCCTCCTCTCGCTCAGTAGGGTCCACACCGTGGTGGTCCTCATACTTATCCTCCAAATCATCATTGACCTCCTCCATCTTCGTATCGTCTCCATCATCACAGTCGTCTTCACCGTTGTCGCTACCGTCTTCAACAGTCTTTTCTCCCGACAAATCACGTTGAGGCATTGCTTTGTCCTCGTTCTTCTTCTGGTCATCTTCGTTCTCTTTGTCGTCAGTCTTTCCACGCACTTCATCTTCCAAAGCTTCACCTTGTACCTTAGAATCTTCTTCAAATTTTTCATTTTCCTTGTCAATCTTATCGTCATCGTCATCCGAGTCTTCACCCCACATCTTCTCATCCACTACATTTTCAGCGTCTTGACCAAAGTCGCCCATTTCCCGATCTAGTTCTTCCCCTTCGTTTTCGCTCTCATCGTCTTTTTCGTCATCAGGAATATCCTGTATTGTGCCTTCAAAGTCATTTTGCATCTCAAGTCCCGTGTTCTCGGGCTTTTGGTCCGCCAGCGGGTCGGTCTCATCTTTCTGGTCTCCTTGCAAGCCCAAAAGTTGCTCTTCATCCTCAATCTCATGGCTCACGTCCTTCTTACCCTCACCTTCGCCCATACCAGTTCCTTCCACATCGTCTTGGAACTGCATCTTGCCTTCACCATCACCTTTATCGTCTTTTGAATCCTCTGTACGGCAAAAGCCGTGGTAAAATAGATTTCGGAAGATACGAACTAGTACAAAGTCCAGCTTCATCATACTTTTGTGCGCCACAATAAAGTCAACAAGCAGCTGGCGACTGATGCCGCGCACATCAAATAAACTCGGTTCAAACCGCTCTAGCGCCAACAAGGAAACGAAGAATACACGTTGCCAGCTTCTTGTCCGAGTACTAGCAAGCTTTGCATACTGATGTTGAAGCAATTTCAGCAACTCAGCAAGCTGAGACGCGATCTGATTTATACGCGAAACCTTCACCATTGTCAACAGCAAGTCAAGTCGCTTGCGCAGCGATAGAGCTTCACTATGTGTATTGTTTTGATTGACATTTGATGACGACAATTCCTTGGAGATCTTTGTCAACTCCTGAATCGACACTAGCACTGTCTCGACGAATTTGTCATAGAGCTCAGTAAAAGCTGACAATGAGTTTGTACTCTCGATGTCATGGTCATCACTGGATGCGAGCAAGTCAATGCTAGTCTCAGAAATTGCCTGCTTGAACTGGCTATCGGTGCGAAAGATGCAGGCGTACTCGTCCAGGAATTTGACAAAGAAATTCGGCGTCGTTACGGAACCAAATAATGAAGAAATATCATGAAGATGACGCTGAATTTCGTCAAAATGAACACTATTTTCCTGCAGCACGGTTATCGCCGGAGGCAATTGTTCAACTGATGAGTTTGTTTGCGTAATTAATGGAGATATGCCATAGAAATGCTTTGACGACTGTGCAAAGGCCCCAATCACAGAAACACCATTGACGACTTCTTTAGCTTTGAGTATGTTGTAAGGAGTCGCAGGTACACCGAGAGACTGGGCCAACCCAGAGGTGTCCACAAACGACTTTTGTACCGCGTCTAAATGTTGATAAATAAGCTGGAATTGCTGGCGAGCTTGCATCTCGATTGACTTCGTCTCTGACAATTGCTGTAGAGCTTGTAGCGTCGATATTTTAAGCTCACGCAGAGAGCGGCGCAGCTCCATTATAGATATTTGCTGAAATGATTGCCACTTGCTTGCTCCACCCGAATCCCGAACTGCTTGACCGGGGTGAGCGGAATCGAGATAAGCAGTTTTGAAATTCTTCATCAAACTGAGCGTGCTTAATCCATTTACAAATCTCTCGTGACTCAGTGAGACGGCGTGCAAGATCTGTCGCTGCTGTAGCATCGTAAACAGCATATTTTCAGCATAACCACACATTCTTTCCATTTCGATTGAAGATAAATCGTGCGAGAAGCTTGTTACTGCACTGTACCGCAACGAAGCCAGCTGTCCGAGGAAGCGGTAGTAGTATCCATCAGCACGCTGCCACAACCATATCGGCGAGTTATTTGCCGCCTTGCCTTCTAGCGAAACTTCTTCCTTAAATTGTTTGCCTATCGTTTTGCTGCGCTTTTTTATACCTTTGAGGTTGTGCGTCCTGGACCTATCCTGCGGAAGCTGAGGGGCTAGAGCTGTTTTGGTTAAATCAACGCGAAGACAGTTCTCCACATCTGGCACATCTAACTCAAACAATTGCTGAATTTGTTGTTGCTGAGCAGGAAGCTGCATTCGGTGATATCCGAAATCCTGTGTCTTTAACTCACTAAGTAGGTCAACAAGAGCTTTTTTCTTCGCCCCTTTTGGCAATGCAGCGGCTGACTGAAGCTTTGACAGTCGGTAGAAGATTGTCTTGCACAGGTCATCGCACACTTCGCGCACTTGTTGCCGGTATTCAACTTGATCGCATGCAAGAATATATTTGTCGGTGTACTTAGCAATGCGCATCATCAATGTTGGCAGTTTTTCGACGTACACAGACTGTTTAAGTACCAATGTGTCGTCATCACATACGTGATCTACGAGGCGTATGCCGTTGTGAATCAGGCGTACAACAGGAGGTCTCTCTGTCTCCCAAACCTCGTCTTCTTTCAGCTTTGTCTCAACGTCGTTTGCAGCTCTTCCATCGACAGAGGACTCTTGATCACACTTTTCAACATCAGCAACTCTGTCGTCAAGACTGGCAAGCTCTGCTTTCGTTGCATGTATCCCAACAAATCCGCCTTCCTTAGTGATGCCACTATCTGTTGAGCTATCAATTACTGTCTGCATCGATACATTCAGTACAGAGTCATAATCACGTACAAACTTCATCAACTTGCGATGTGACTTTTCGGCCGACTCTGCAAGTGAGTAATACGTTTGCTCATCCCAGCGACAGATCTTTACAAACTCAATCAGTTTGCGCTGGATTGGAGCCTTCAAACCGCTCCATTGGCGGTCCAAGTAGCCCAAATGTTGCGCGTAGTACCGATATAAATGGTATAACATGTTGGCCAGCGCATACTTAGTCGAGTTCGCAGCAAAATTAAAAGATGATCCTTCGCGCTTTGCAAGACTCCAAAAATCAATAAACAATTGTGCACAGAATGAATATACCATCTTCAAACGGACCTCGTACTGTCCGATCGGGCACGACCGAATGTACGCATCCAAAGTATCAAAAAGTTTTGTCTTAAAATCACGTTGCTCCTCCAATTTTGCACGTTCTGCGTCGCTGAGAGACTGGTCTTCACTTCTAATCTCATGGGATTGAGCAAATAACCATTTTGAGAGATTATTGAGATGAAGCCATTGTAAATCGTGATGGCTGTTGCTGCTCAACACGGCAACATCAACCATCGATGTGTCCGATTCGAACTGCGCTGTCAGCAGTGAGTACATGTTGATCCATGTATTTTCTGCCGTAAAGCGATGCTGCTTTTCTTTGACGTAGAGAAGGTGAGGCCACGAATACAATTCAAGCTTTCTCCAGCGCGTCACCAAAGATGATAGCGCACTGAGCTCGTCAGTGATTGAGTATGCACGTGCGGCATATATCTCCCACTCTTGTGCTTTCCGCAGCAAAAGCTCCACACCAGAGAGCGTGCGAGCCAGTGGAGAACTTATCTCAAAATTACGGATGCGATCAGCAATTAGTACAATTTGTTGCAAGATTGCGTGGTCAGGCCACTGAGCCAAGAGCGATTGCACTTTTACAAGCAAATTTTGTAACGGCTCTGCAATCAGCAATACTTCTTTGACCATAGGATCACGATGGAAGTCGATTCCTTGAATGTATTCACTGTTCAAAGCTTGAGATACTGGAACCGCCTTCTTTGATATCCCAGTAATGCTTCCAAGTCGAGTCTGAACCAGAGATGCAGCGAGTACACCGGAAGATGCAATTGTGGTTTCAAGATTAAATGAGGTCATGGTATTCAAAGATTTGCGTAGCCTCACTGCAAGAGAAAAAGCGCGTGCAAAGGCATTAACGATCTCATCATCAGTAATAGCAACATTCGAGTTTGCTATCTCTGCATACATTTTCATGTGTGCTTCACACAATCGTCGAATCATTTTATCAGAGACCAGCATTTCCAAATTATTTGAGCCACCAGGGCTGTCCAAGTCACTAGTCAACGATTGCTCAGAGCTCAGAAAATCTTTAAAATCACGATAATAGTCTGGAAATTGATCGCGGTACTCCTTTTCCAGGAGCTCATCCTCAGTTTCCAAGTCTAGCTGACGTACCTTGTACTTGAAAAGTTGTTCCTCCTCCTTTCGTTTTTGCTCCTTGCACTCCATCTGTTTCTGCCATTCAGCCAAACACATATCAAAAAGTAATTTACTGATCTGAAAAGCAGACTCGACAACAGACGAGTCTAGCGCACAATTTGTACGCAAAGCCGTCAGCATCTCACGAAAAAGACACTCCACTTTTGCCAGCGCAACATTGAGCAGAGCTGCCTCAATCTTGCGCTTGTTTGCTTCTCCTGCACCAAATACAATTGACATTGCCGGTGTGCCGACTGTTTTCAACATCAACTGAATGCTACGCCAAGACTGATCTATCGACGTCACGCTTAGTGGAGAAGGAAACTGCACCAGTGATAAAGCCAATGCCTCTTTCTCTTGTTCTTTTAACGATGCATCCTTAATCTGCTGATACAATGACCAAGTCACGAGTGCAACACCTTCCTTTACACAGTATATAGTCGCCCCAATCGGTTCTAAAATATCTTGGAAGCAGTCGCCAAACTTTTTAGACAGATGAGCGAGAAAGCTCGTCGATGTCTGCTGGAACATTTCAAGTTCACGTAAAATCTCACGCTTTCGCTGTAAGGACGGCTTTGAAGCTTGAGCCGCAAAGAGCAAGGCAGACATTTTATCGGCTGGCATTACGGTGAGAGAAAATCGCAATAGATCTCGGAACAGATCTCCAAAGACAGCACTGTCCACAGGTTGCATTTCAAACGTACTCGGGTCAATGGCATCCACATCAAGTTGTGGCTTAAGTTGGTATCGCTGAATAGCAAAAGCAGATGCTTGCTTAACCTGATCATACAATCCGTTCAAAGACTGAACAGCAGCTTCGGCAGTCGCCACGAATGAGGGCGAAGGATTAAGTCGATGGATTGATGAGTTTGATGCGTCTTGCATGGTTAACATAGCCAGACGATTCATCAATTTCTTTTTCTTCACCAATGGCTTTGTAGCGGGATCCAACGGCGAGGAAGGAAGAAGCAATGCGAAACGCCACATGCCTAGCATCACCATACTCACTCCGAGGACGCTGAGGCTCATCTGGTCACCATTATCATCAATCTTGGATGCTGTAGATACAGCTTTTATCAGTGGTGACACAAGTGAGTCTACTAATACTGAAAATGTTTTGTCACTAGAGCTCTGAAGCGCCTTAAGTAATTGGGCTTGAGCCTTGCTATCAAATGTCGAGGTTTTATCCACAAATCGGCTTAGAAGATGTCGGACCGTTTGCCACTGGCCTAAGTCCTTAGAAAATGTTGACTCGAAAGCAAGCACAGTAGCCACAACAAGCTCCTTTACATAAGAGATACTTACGCTCGCAATCATCTTTTCTACATCAGGATGCTTCCTCGCTAAATAGGTCTTGATCTTTTCTAGTCGAGCAGAGCGCACCTCGGCCTCACTCGTTGGACACTTGGACTCTTCCAAATCCACTTCAGCAATGTTTCCTAGCACAACAGCACTTTGAACAGCTTGGAACAGACGAGGAAACCCCGCAACTATCTGAGCGTGGTCAGATTCATCATTGCTAATTGCAGGGCGAAGCTTGTTCGCCTTACGCAACTTCACTCGTGTGTCAAAAATCTCGAGCGAAATCAAGTCGATATGATTGAAGCTATTACAGCGCAAGAACTGATGAAAATGATACAGCAAGCCATTTAGGCGTGTATGGACTACAAAAAAGAATTTTTGGACCTCAGCTTCTATTTCCTTCTGAGTGCTGCCCGTCAGCTCAAGCGAAATAAATTTGTAGCCACACCATACGATATCTTGGTATGCATAAAAGCTAGCAGGATCACGCAGCCCTTGACGCACCAAAATTTCAAGAACGTCGTCAATTACTTTTAGAACGTCCCTTGCAGCCTCTATAACTTCACTGTATCCGGTTTGAGACGACTCTTTTGCGTATAAACGATGCAAATTGAGCACGTGCAGAAGCTTCGTAATCGCTTGCAGCTCTAAGCGAGCCAAATCATGCTCCAGTAATGGACTCAGTTGAAACGTCACCAAACGCTCCATTAAGACGGCATTTTCTTTCATGTCGAGGAGCAAGATGGGAGCTTGTTTACCAATGCGACTGTCCTCTTCGGTAAGCAAATCCACATGACTGTTGGCGTTATCTTCGATCTCACTCAGGTACAAAGTCTTCTTAGCAATAAGCTCCGTCACTTTTAGCTGCTGGTCCTGGAGTTTACTGAGAAGAACGCTCGGAAGTCTTAACAAATCCTCGGTCATCAGCGTATAAGAGTGCATCTTGGTCGCTTTTTCACCATGTTTCGAATTTGTTTGCTTCTGAGCAAGGTACGAGATTGCACATAGTGCATGCAGCACTTCCTTTCGAGTTTCAGCGTCAACATAAAAAAGAGGTGAGACGTTAAACTTTGCGTTCTTCATGGCAGCATCCATCGATATCCCGCCGCCAAACAGAAGAGTTAATACATCAATGCTACCTTCAGCAGAGCCTCTTTGAGTGTCTACGCAAAAATTTGAGTGCACCTGCATCCGTGTCCTCGAAAGTCGCTTTAATAAATGCTCAGCTTTCCATAGGTAAGCATTACTTGGTAAAAGCGAGCGGCCTCCGTTTTTCCACAGCACCATCTTCTTCGACTCACAACCAATAAGCTTTTCAATTGTTTTCTGCATGCGCTCTATCATATCATGGAGGTTCTTCCACTGAGTATCCAAAGTAAATGTAATACATTCAATAAACTTCGCGAGTCGTAATAACGACTTCTTAAACCATTGCCAGTGAATAAGAAAATGTGTCAAATCCAATACTTGCATTTGAAGGTGGTTAGAAAATTCGAAGCGGTCTTGGATTGCGTCTCGAACGGCATCAAAAAATGACAAGTCAATCGACAGATTTGTCGATGCTTTTATAAATGCGAGAACAAACACGTCAAATGAATTTAAAAGTGGATATATGAGGAAAACCAATTCGCTATCCACACATGAGCGATCTGCATGATACTGATGGACGGCATAAGACTGCTGTAGTACTGAAAGCTTGGTCATGCCGCTAACGAGCAGAGATGAGGTACCGGAACTGCCTTTATGTTTGCTACTCCTTGCTGACGGATTGAAGTGTATATTTACATCACGATACTGCTCTTGTTCGCAGAATTGTAGCCATTCCACACCGTCAAGTAAATCCATCTGCCGCTGAGTAATCTGAACGAAATTTATAAACTTTTCGACCTCGCCTTTGGATGAAACAGCGGCGCTATTAACAGCCACACGCAGAAAAGCTGAATTTTTTGCAGCATAATGCACTGGCATCGGCGGCAAGCCAGTTGGATAAGCCGACAAATCCTTTAGGTGATGGGCCGACTCGACAATATTACGAAGACCGTAAGTGTACATGTCATTCGTAGTCATGGACTGGATAAAGCGTGCGAGCAGCTCAACCGATCGCAACGTGCGTGTACTACCGACTCCACAAACGACTCTCTCTAGTGCGAAAAGCAGGCGGTCTGAAGTGGCCTGACAAATACCGTTTTCGCATGTGCTCGAGAGTTTAAGTATCCGACTTAAGGCAAAGGGTGCAAGTAACATTGCCAAGGGGTTATGAACGTCGACGAGTCCAAAGAAAGCTTTAGACGTCAAGGACTCACAAGCTTCAGCTAAAGCTTTGTGAGAATAAGTTGTATTTAGATGCTTGCACCGCATAGCAATACTATCCAGCCAATCATCGGTAATAGCGCTCATATCTGTATCAATATTTGTGTTGGGCGTAAGCCAACTCAGCTGCAAACCATCTGCGTCAATAGATTCTGGCGCTTGCGTAGATAAAATGAGGTATTCGAGATACACAATATCTCCCTGCAACACGATTTTTTCGCTTTGCTGACAAAGGGCAAACGTTGAGCGTACTGCAATTGTTGAAAGTACGCGTTGAATTTGCAAGTTTTGTTGCGAGATGTCAATAGCGCGCCTGATTGAGTCGAATACATCTTGACTTAAGTCAAGCTGGGCGAGCAATTTGGCACCATAAACACGTTGAAGGGAGTAGAAGATTGCGTTTATAGGTTCAACTCCACGAGAAATCTCGGCTGAAGATAGCAACGACCAATTTTCCAAATGTCGACGATTGATACTACCGTATTTTGAGCCTCCCATAACCTCCTTAAGTTTGTCAATAACACGCTCGTGAACCGATTGAAACGTTTGAGATAAAGCAAAGCTCGGAATGCCACATGACAATGATAACTTGATAAAATCCAGCCGAGAAGCGTCCTCATCAGCAAGTGCTATCTCAATGCACCGATTTCGCATGGCACGTGACACTTCGCCGTACTGCGGGTCCATCGCCAAGAAGATCCGAAAATTTTTGTGAGGTTTGATCACTCGAAGTTTACCGTTAATTATTCCACATTCATTAATCAGCATCTCTCCTTCAGTCTCCATAAGCGAATTCAGTCGATCCAAAACTGACGAGCTGCAAAAATTGACGTTGTCCAAGAGAACCCAATCACCCTTCTCCATCGCTTTTATCAACATTCCGTCAACCCAATCAAAGCAACTCGCAATAGCATTGGACTTGCCCAGCTTCTCAATCTGATCAATGTCATTCGCAAGACAAGAAAGTGCTGGCAAATGTTCATCGTGATTAATCTCTTTCAGTATAACTACAACATTCTTCATCAAGTCAATCATGACCTCATCCAATTGACCACTTGGCAACTTCTTTGCTGTGTTCTTTACATTATAATTTTGACTATAGAGCGTTTCCCGTGTTGTCAGCGCCCACCACGTGCGACTCAGTTGATTCATCTGTTTTATCATCTTAGTTTTGTCCGTCTTAGATTTGGTCGATGCAATTGACAGCATTAGTTGTTGAAGCATTTGGTCATAAATAACATGAAGATTTTGCTTCACGTCACGCAGCTTCCGTCCGAAATCGACTTGCTCGAAGCATCCAAGCAATTCTGTCGCATCAGTTCCTGCACTCATTCCCAACTCATGCAATATATTGCCACTTAAAGCAGCAAGTAGACGAACTGACGAAGTTTTGCCGCTTGCCGGTGGGCCAACGAGGAGCGCTGGCCACGACATGTTGACACAATGGACCAATGCTTCCATCGGCTTTAACAAAAAGTTAAGAAGTGGCAGAGCAACGCGATTTAAAGGCAAGATTTGCTTACGCTTGAGTGATGCCTTTCCAATCTCCACGAATCCTGCCGACATACGAAATGAGACAGCCGTACGATCATCTGGCTTGAGCCCAAAACAGTCCTGAAATCTATGAGAGATGAGCTCTCGATCGCGTGCAGATCGCAATCTATCCACATAGATAAAATTTACGTAATAACTCAAAATGTGACGCTTATCCTCTGCACAGCTAAGCAATAATGTATGCTGCCTGAGCAGGTCACAAACGCGAAAAACGTCTCGCAGATTGAATTCCCACGGTGATCCGAGACGGCCGTAACTGCGCCGAATCATTGTGTCCTCGTAAACTGCACGATTAAAGTCAATAATTCGCTCTAGCAACGTTTGTCCCGCAAAAATCGAGTTACTCATATCTGCTTCAGTAATTGCACAATGTAGCGTTGGATACATTGCGCTAGCAATATATTTCAAATCTTCTTCATGCAACGTATCAACAAAAACGCGAGTGAATCGATTCAAAAATGACTTAGGCAATCCCTTCCGACCGCCACCTTGACGAAGCGGATTTTGCGCGGCAAAGACACGGAAGGTCGGCGGGCACTCGAACTCTTTATCCAGTTCCGGGATATAAACACTACCTCGATGATCGAGGCACGAGTTTAAACCTTCCAAAACAGATTGCGAAGCCAGATTCAGCTCATCTAGCAACACCCAGTCGCCAGCTTTCAAAGCACGCAAGAAAACGCCATCGCACCACTTGAACATGCCGTTTGATTTTCCACCGGGCATATTTGTGGAGGAATCGTCCTCTACAATATCGGTTGGCGATGATGCAGCAGGAAGGTCAGAGCCAAAGAGATCAGAGATGTCCGTTTGTTCAGACAAATTGATGCGTACAAGGTGGTGGCCGGATGCCGCTGCCAAAGCACTAATCAAACTAGTCTTGCCAACGCCAGGAGAGCCTTCTAAGATGATTGGGCGGTTAACCTGCATCGCACGCAATACACGGTATAAATTTGACAAAGTTGTCGGGGCCTTCAGCGAGAATGCCGGTTTTCTACGAGTATTGTCCGGCCCACGTGGAATCAAAAATGGACCTATACCAAATTTTTCTTTCGTAACTTCTTCAGAGACAAACGAGTTCAGCTGATCAATGCTTTTTCCGTCATCAAATGTCGTGATTTTAAGCGAGTTGGTAACCATTTGCTTCACATAAACATTATCATCTGGCACTAGCGCAATTACATGATCATATGCTTCTTCTCGAGCATGCAGTGCCGTGAGTAGTGCCTTGTCAGAACCAAGACCCAAACCGTCCAATATTGACAACGCAGCTCCTTGCACAAATGCTGTCCATGCTGATACTTTCATCGACAGCTCATCATCTTGCTTCTTGACGACAGATGTGATGAAATCAATCCAATTGAGAATATCGCGTAGTGTTACTGCCCCGCATCCATCATTTCCGTTTTTTTCATTAAAAAACATCACAAATCTCAAAATGGGATCACACAATAACGATAAGTGATCACGTGCTATCAGTGAGAATTGGTGAGGTGACATATCGGTGCGGTGGGGACGAATCAGTCTGTCACGAATGATTGTGGCGATGTCATCCAAGTCTGAAATAGCCGGTACCCAGATCTCTGTAAAGCGGTTGCGTAAAGCAGGAGATAGCTCGCGCTTGCCAAAATCTCCGCCTGGATTCATCGTTGCCATTACACGCCACTTTGGGTGGGCAACTATTTCTTCGATTTCGTCTCCACCTTTTTCAGCCAGCAATAGCGTACGAGATGGCTCAAGGACACTATTTAATCGTTCCAATACTGCATCTTCTGCAAGATTGATTTCATCAATCAAAAACAAATCCCCCTTCTTCATTGATTCAACCAGAGGACCATCAGCCCATTCAAAGATAGACAGCAGTCGACGCGTGAGAGCATCAATTCGCACTGCTAATTCCTTAAGGGGGGGAGAAACACCCTCTATAGCACCATTACGCATCTTTTCATACTGAACTATCATTGCACTTACGCCCAGTAATTTGACCTTATCTCGGCGTTGTTCAATCTCGTGCTCATCGATACATCCGTCACCTTTTGCAAGAAAAGTCGCGAGTGCATCTTCCAGTTCGTGTGCAATATTTTCCTTTCCTCGCACGGGACGCAAGCAGCCAAGGAAATCCGAAGTCTCTGTATGTTGGTGGCAATTTAAAATGTGTAGCGGCTGTGAGAAAAGAAGCGAGTACAGCTGGCAAACAGTTGTCTTGCCACATCCAGTCTCTCCAACTAATAGGATTGGTTCCTCGTTTTGCAAACAGCGTCCTACCAGTGTAAAAAGCCGTCGTAGTGATTTGGTAACACTAATATTTTTCAAGCCTGCTGCACTACCTGCGGACTGTGGTGCGCTGTTGCTAGGCTTTCCGGTAGCTGCTATTTGAGAGGTCTGCTCCACAATGTTTTGAACACGTTCAAACTGTTCCTTGGTCCCCCAAACCGTCTCATGTTCGACCTCGCCATTTTTGTCCAGAAGATTTGATTCGCGAGGCTTACCACTATAATAAAGAGAGTCTAGATCAATAGTGACGTTGCACTTTTTTTCTAACACTTGCTTCACAATTTCCTTCTCTTGATCTTTCCGCAATCGCTCCGCCAGCAAACAGTAGCCTTCCTCCGCTAAGGCCTGTTTTGTTGCTGGTCGACGTTCAGCCCACCGAAGCAAATCACGAGTTGTTATAAAGCCAGACTTCCCAGCAAAGACAGACGATTGCTGTCGAACAAGCTGCAATTGCCGCATGACGTCAACTAAGATCTCACAATACGATGGCGGCAGCGAACTGCGCTCTTGCAAAATGGTTTGGAGCTCACCAGACGCTACTTCGTCAATATGAATCTGAAGAAAACGATTTCTGAATGCGCGTGACAGGACTTTCCTCCCACCATACAAACCAGGAGGGTTTTGCGTCGCGAACAACATAAACTTCGGATGCGTCTTCACTATCTCCTGGGTTTCGGGAAGAAAGAGCTCACGATTGTCATCAAGCAGTCGATTGAGAGCCTCCAGAACCTCCGATGGAGCCAAATTCAACTCATCCAGGATAATCCACCAACCTTTCCGTACCGCATCCACCAAGACGCCTTCCTTAAAAGTTAGCTTGCCGCTCAGGTCCGAGACGTAACTTCCAAGGTACTCTTGAATATCCGTGTGCTCGTGGTTATTGATGCGCACACATTTTTGTCCAATACGGGCGGCCAGATATTCAATAAGCGATGTTTTTCCAGCAGATGTTGGTCCCTGCAACAGAACTGGATACCTGCCGATGACTACTGCGCGCGCCACATGACGCAAATTTTCTTCTACCGATTTTGTGAGTACAAACTTCCGTCGTGAGGTAACCGGATGCGGCAGTGATTCATCTTTTGGTGCCTGAAAATCACCTTTTTGAATCCAGTATGAGCACACCAACACAAAATCGCCCGTTCTTTTAGGTCCACCAGGACATGGTGGCGAGCGCTTAAGCTCTTTTGCCTTAATCGTCTTTGCAAATGTGCTTTTAATAAGAGTCTCAAGGTATATACGGGATTCCATTTCAAGTTGTGTGGAGAAAGTAGAGCAAAAGCCTTCAAACATTGCTCTAGAGGTGCCGTAGCCCCGCTGAATTAACATGCGCGTAATATGAAGGGCCTGACTTAGTGTACGCAGAGAATAGCGAGGTTTGCGACGTCCACCATCGCTTAGCCGCACTTCTGCTTGTTTTCGTGCTTCCAAGTAAAACTTTACCGTCTCAGGTACTAGCGCTTCGGATATTTCCTTGAATTGATGGTGGACCACCATTTGCAAATCCAAGATATTGACACACTCATCTACGTAGATTTCCGTAAATCTATTGCGAAAAGATGGCGGGAGATTTTTTTTACCAACGTCGTTCGATGGGTTCATTGCGCCAAAGAGACGAAAATTAGGATGCGGGCGAATGATTTCAACATCTCCACGCTCAGTCAGAGAGAATGCACTTGTTTCGTGCTCAAGCAACGAGCTAATTCGCTCTAATGTGTCGGAGGATGCAAGGTTTATCTCATCCAGCAACACCCAATGACCTTCTCGCAGCGCTTTCACAAGAACTCCCTCTTCAAATGAAAAGGCAAAGTGTGACTTTGCTTGCTCTTTCTGTCGTTCAAAATGCATAAGATCAGCTCTAAAAGTGTCCCAACGATCCACCAACATAGTTGCCGAAGAACCGGCAACGACCATCTTGTGATTTAATTCACTTTTTGAGTGGGTATTGTTACGGTCAGCTCTGCTATCTTGTAGCTTAATTACAGCCATATGAATGGCTTTTTGCATGCCTTTCACGAGCTTCTTCCACTCCTTGTGCTCTAGCGCTATCCGAACTGCATTAAGAAACTCAGCGTTAGTTTTTTGCGAAAATGTGGCCGTAAAAAGATCCACAAATTTGATGTATAATGGGCGGGCGAGCAAGTGGATCTCGACAGGCTTAAATCCTCCCAACAAATCAGAACTATCGCTTTGAATATTAAGGTTTTGAACGACCAGATGCTGCCCCATGGTCACCGCCATATGCTGAATAATCGTAGTCTTGCCGCAACCAGTCTCACCAATCAGCAACGCTGGCTCACGAGTAGTTACAATCGCAGCGATCTGCTCTAGCAACCGCAGCACTTGACCAGTCATTACAACAGAGCTAGCAGATGTATAAGTGCCTTGCTCGAGCTGCGCGCGTTGCGACAATGTCGGCAGATGAACGCGGCCAAATGTTACTTCATGTGAATTAAAAGTAACATGAGGCTTGCGTTGTTCGAGATAATAGTCAATTTTGTCGGAGGCTACTTCCCAAATTGCTGCTAGTGCATAAGCAGAGCGTAAACGCGTCTTTGTATCATGGATACCCGCACAAAATACATCCAGCGCCTCGATTAAAATGCGCATACGTTCATCCTCAGTTATATATTCGTGTCCAGATGATGCAGTCTCGCTTATCGTACCATCGTCATAAATAGAAAATCGATATATACGCTTGCACCACTTCAGTAAATCGCGCAGGCAAAAGGTGCGTCCGTAATTTCGTCGTGTTTCCATCCAAATCTGCGCAGTGCTACCACTCTCATCGCTTGTGTTACCAGATATCGCGTTATATGTAGCCATGATCTTGGCGACATAATGTCGTCGAATTTTTGTAAAGCGCGTCATTATGATCTGCTCGATCTCACTCTCTGCGAGTGGTGCAATGCGTACACTCGTCCAGACCGATTCCTGAAACCCTTTGGGCATGTGATGGCCATGCGTCGTCGTTCCGAATATTTGAAAGTTTGAGTGTGCCATAAGTACCTCTCCACGACCAGGAAGGACCATTTCGCGTGTTTCAAGCAGCGGCATTAGTGCTGCCAGTACCTCGAATGGAGCACGATCGATATCTTCAATGATCACCCACCGACCAGCAAGTACAGAATTTGTAAGCGCTCCAGGTTGCCATGTAAATTGTCCTGGTATATCAGTACACACATACGATCCCAGCAATGTCTTGCTATCAATTTGATCGTCTAGATGCAGCTCTACCAAGTCATAATTACCAGAGAGTCGAGCAAGCTCTCGAATCATAGCTGTCTTACCACATCCACCTGGACCTGTGACCAATATTGGACGCTTCAAACCTAGCGCAATTGCAAGCGACTGAAGGTTCCGCTTGGTTGATGGCGTAGGTACTAGCGGTTGGGTGATCACTGAAGTGTCCTTGCCTATGTCATAGTTCCGATACAGCTTGCTACTAGGAATAATTACGCCGAATATGCTCTGCAGCATCTCATGAAAAGGTGGCGATTGTGTCTCTTCCACCTTGTCATCATTCTGTGGGTGATAAATACTCACATTAATGAATTGTTCCTGTCGCGTTGTGTCCTCACTATGCAAGTCCAGTTCAATCTGTCGAACAATTGATCCATCACACAGTGCAGCATCTTCACCAACACATAATTCATTTAAAAAAGCGGTTCTCTGGGCATTGCTCATCTTCAAGACTACAGCTGTCGTACGTGCAGCATACCATCGCACGTATAGGTCGTCGTGAAAGCCAAGTGGAAAAAATGATGTCCAATTCCAAATCGTCATAAGTTCTATAGGTCTTGCTCGTAGTAGCTGAAATGCTGTCTTGGCGATACTTCGAAGCCGATTTATTGTATCTTCGGTCTGCTGTTTTTGAGTGACCATGACGTCAGTAAAGGCAAAAAAGCACGGCGCTGTTTTAAAGTACTGCAGGATCAAAATACTGGAGGTTGGAAAAAAGATAAGAAGCTCAGATAAAGTCATAGCGACAAGTTCGCTTCGCTTCATGCTGTCGATGAGCTCACTGTGCTGCTGTTGGTCGTAGAGCGGTAAGACCGGGTCTGTAAGCCGCAGTATCAGGTCCAATAAGAAAGGCCGCACGTACTTAACAATGGTCATGCGCAGATCGTTGTGTGTTAAACATGAGGCCAGTGCTTGCAATTGCGTGCGAGATGCAGAGTCACGGTCCTGCTTTTCATTTGAATCAAACGAGGTCAAGAGCGCTTGAAATGGTGGGTATTCCTTAAGTCCGTCGTCGTCTCTAGCATTTACAGCGGCCAGAAGCTGCTGAATTCCGGTATGCAGTCGGCCGATACTCACCAAGCGCTGCTCATTCGTAATGCTACTGTCGTTTGCGGCGTCTACTACTCGTGGAGCAACAACGTCAACCATTCGAAACGGTGTAAAGTGACAACCAACCGAAAAGGAAAGCTTTGTGGTGCACATAATTTTTGAGAAAGCACCATTTACAGCATGATATGACTTTAAAATTGTTTATAGCCATTCGAAAACCTCGTTTTGAAGAGGAATTACTGAACGTCAGTTGTCCTTGCCTATCAGTTTTCAAACTAATTGTCATTTGCTGCGACAACATAGATCCAGCCACTGGACAAAGGCAAGGACATCTATTGCGGGAAATTGATGCCTGACAATAGTCACACTATAGACACTGATAGACATACCATTACTGTTGAATCAAAGTATTGCCAGTATCAATATGGAAACTAGACGTTGTTAAACGCTTTGACAAACATAAGCCGCTCTTCCGTAAAAATCGACTTGATCATGGCCACACTGCTGCTCGATAGACACGAGTCTTGGATCAACAAGAGGATACTTTTGAAAGAAAAGAGCAATTTTACTACTTGACTTGTGGCATTTTATTCCGCTCCTTATTGAAGTGTGCTAGCCCATTCTCTGCAAGTTCGTAGCAAGGTGTTTCTTTGTACTTAAATTTAAAGACTGGCATATAAAGAAAATTGTATGGATTACATTACTACAAATCACATGTCTATCACACATATTTAGCTCGTAAAATTGTATTGACACACTTAGTAGCGGAGTAAACCTCAATAAGTCAAGTGTGTTGAAACATGTACTGATTTAATAGACGCAACTTCAAAATGTGGGTTTATTTGCTCTAGCACCGCGGTTCTTCGCGCAAGTGCTTCGCAGACAATCGTTGTGCTGATACTTCTGACGGTCGGCCGTGGACATTTTTACTTTGGTCTTAGGTGCCATAAACGAAAGTTGCGGACATTTCGCTTTAAAGCGCGGATCTCAATACGAAACAATGGCCAAGAAATTG